AAGGAACCCTCAACCGCAAACGGCTGGGAAACATTTATATAACTTCATTCCAGAAATGCCGCTTTTCTTGTGTATATATTTCTTTGACTTCATCTATGCCGTCATCCTCGTAGTTGGACTAGCTTGTTGCTGTTATGGTTTTTTAGAACCGGTTTTTGATTTGAGCTTTTAGGGAGATCAGTTTTTCAAAAAAAATTAGTTGAGTGTTTATCTGAAAAAATGTTAAAAGTATGTTTTAATATAAAAGGTCATATAAAATTACTAAAAAGGATTTCTAATACATGCTATGAATAAAATTTTTGAAAAATAAAAAGTAGTCAAAATGAATATTGTTACCGGCCTACTCATAATCGGTCCAAAAGCCAAATTGTCAGAAGATTGCTGATGCATAACACACTTGCAACCTGAAGCTCGATTGTCCTGCATTTCTGGCCAGACAAAAACCAACCTTAGTTGTCACCATCCATACACCTATGAATGGTAATAGGCAGGGTGTGCGGATATCTTGATACGCATACCCGTTCTGTGACAAATTGGGTATTTTATTTTGGTGTGTGGGTCGGGTCAGATCAGCCCGTTATAGGTATGTAATTTGAAGTAAAAATAGTTGAAACATTGATTTTTCATTTATTCAAGACGAGAAAAAGATTATGACATAATAAATGTAGTAAAATTATTTAAGAAGCTAAATTTCTCGTCTATTTATACCTTTGCTACAACTAAAATATAATGTAATAAAAGTAAAATTCTAAGTATTAAATTACATATAATTAAGAAAAAATAAGTCGAGATACCCATATTCTCCCGCCTATGGAGGAGTATTACCCGAAAAGTACGTCGAAGAGGACCAATCCGATCAAAATTGTGATCCCTACAATTCTCCCTTAAGGAAACAAATCCATTTCTTTTCAATGAGAATACACATATCATTGAAAAATATGGTATATTAGACTAGGTCGTCAAAGTAGACTCGACTGGATCGACTCGGATTATTAAGTTAGGTAAACACTTGTTTCAGTGAGTTACCCACTCAAATAATTAAGGCTGAAGCAACTATGCCAACATACCAAAGTAGATTAATTAGAGTTGTGAAAATTATATTTTTTATCCCGTCAATATACTAACGTTAAGATGAATTTCTTCTTATGAAATGCTTCTTAAAATATATATAATTATATATGAACAGGGATCTTAACAATATTTTGGTAACAGAGCCTTATATATTGTGTTCGATCGATCATCGATGCACCCACGTGAATTCAAATTAAGCTAGCCAACTCACAAAATCGAAAACTAAAAGGGAAGTATTGTTATTATTCTTATATAAGGGAACTAAAAAAAAAAAAAAAAGACAATCAGTTAGGCAAGACTTATCAAATCTCGGTTATGTAAAATGTAAAAAAATTATGTTAAGATTACGAAATGATAATTATTTTATTTCTTACTTAACCGTTGAATCATACGTATTTTGTAAGACTTCGGTAATAACTTAACAATCTATGAAACGTATTGTTAATATCATTTTCATTATGCAACATCATTTCACAACTCTTATATGAGATACATATAGATTATGTAAAGATTAATAAGTAGTAGTTATTTCTTACGTAACAGTTTAACAAAGATATTCCAGATGATTTTTGTAACGATTTTGTACTTTACGTAACGGACACATTATTTTATAACTATTACATATAAATTGTTCTCATATAAAACAGTAATTATGTTTTATCTTTGTTATTTGTTAATAAAATGATATAAAGTTCAGTTTAACCCTATACCCAAAAAGAAAAAAGATGCGAAACTATAATGTTCTCATATAAAACAGTGTTATGTGTCCAACTCGAAATCTTCCTCATGTCATCAACTTCATCAGTTGAATAAATCACAATTAGAGTCATTGAATATCTTTAACTTTGAATAACAAAGTTAGAAATTTCAATTATAAAATAATAAAGAACAATGAAAATAATAATAGATGTTGTCACATATTCTCTGAACCCCAAACCTGCGAACTCGTGCATATAATAATACAAAAAATATGTTTTCCTGTAATATATTAAATAAAATGATTCACAGGAACACAGACTTCTAGCAATAAAATCCTTTTGTATTGGGTTGGGAGGGATGCAAGTTAAAAAAATACATGAAACCGTACGGAATCCGCCATTGTTAAACATGGAAAGAAGAGCAGAAAGAAGGAATAAAGCCAAGTGTCAATCATCAGCTGTATGATATTGAGAAGAGGAGAGGAGTAGGTGGGTGGGTGTATGGTCCAAGGTTATCTTTTTTTTTTCTAACCTTTTTTTTTTTAACATCTTCCCAATTTGGGTACCTGCTCAGCTTTCTTTCTTTTTATTTTATTTTACAAAAGCTCACTGTAACATCTGAATTTTTTCATGACGAAAATATTATTCGATTTGGGTCTCGACTCTCGATCTTTACGGTTTTTGATTTGGAGTGTAATTTAAGGTGACTTCCCATAAGGTTACTTATCCTTGTTGTACTCCACACTGAGCACGTTTAACTTTACAGTTCACGCAAGAACTCATCTATTTCACCACAAAATGTGTCTTGTCAGTTAAGACCGGTTTCTTACTATGAACCATGGATCTCTTGTGATTTGTTGATGTGGGATTCGCCTAAACTGTTACACTCACACTTTTCTTGTTTTCATTTTAACTTTTTTTTCATAACAGAGAAATCAAATAAGTCAAGAAAAATAATAACAACGATAAACGAAAGTGAAATTGGTATTTTCAATACCATATTAATGAGTTAGGTTACGTCAAGGATAGGGTGCACACTCTTTCATAACTAGATTTGAGTGGTCAAGGAAAAATCCAGATCTAAGACGTAATAATTAATGATTTTTGTTTTTTTAATCGGCTCTTATTTTCTTTGTTCTGACTTGGATTTCAAAAAAAAAAAAAATACGGATGGAATGAGTTTGTTGTGATCTACAAAATGAGATCCATTTTCAAAATATTCAGATAAAAAAGGTCTCATACAACTCGTTACCACCTAGTGACACCTTCTTTTCTAACTCGAAGTTTGAAATTTTTTGTACAGATCATACGAGTTCATCGTAATTTATTCTATCTACAAATTTATGAGAAAAATATACAGGACTAAAATATACCACTCTATAACACTCTAGTATAGGGGTGGTAAACAATGATGAATGTAGTAAACGATAGTTCTTATATTCCTACTATGAATAGAAAGAGAAAAGGGAATCCGCAGCAATGAACCTCAGTGTCGGGATAGTACTTGAGGACGGCAGAGAGGTTGACAGAAACTCCGACGCCGACTCGCTCAGCTTACTTCCCAGCCTTGAGAAACCTTGCAATTCGATGGGGGAACTGCAATCCGGCTTTGGAGGATCTGGAGACCGATTTGGTCACCTTAGTCTTCCCGCGGCCTCCCTTCCCTTGGTTGTTCCAGCAGCAGAACTCATTTTTCTCGGGTCTGAAAATTGTTGAAATCTGGAGAGAAACCCTAACCCTTGATCGCGAAGATGGCGAGTGAGAAGAAAATGAGGGAAACGCTAATGAAGCGTTCAAATCTCGTGAGTGAAACAAGAGCGGCTGAGCAGTTTATACTCTCGGCCTCTAGCTATCAATTTTGGCAGCTGATGCCTTCTTTCCCCAAACAATGTGTCTCCTCTTCCCTCTTCCTATATATATTCTATGAAAGTTATTACCGAAACCACAGTCAAACAGTTTCCTAACATGTGTAATGCCCATGAAAAAAATGAGAACAACAAGAAGCATCCTATGAAACAAGCAACAGCCAACTATCAAAAGTGAACATTTGCTGCAAACTGTACAGAAATCGGCAAGATTTGAGATTCTCCTATAGTCCAAAGAATTCAATCTACTGACTCCCAAGTCCCAACCTACCAACCACCTTGGATCTACCCAGACTCATCTTCGCAACTAATAACGTTGCTGCTTACTTATGCATGTAAATAACATGATCAACGAATCCCTCCCTTCGTTCGGACTAACAAGGTGACACTTCGAGTTTCTCACACACTCTCGAGCGGAAAATCATGAGAACAAAGAGTTCTTCTAGCCCTCTTACATGCATGAATTGCCTGTATTTCATGCAATCTTCCATTATCCTATTATGCCCCTTCATAAAAAAATGTAACCTTCACGTTGCTGCAACCAATTCCGATGAAATGTAACAATGATCCACTCTCTACATCAGTAGCACAGCAGAATCCAAAAAAACAAGATGAAGCTATGAATACAACGATGCAAGAAGAGATAATAATCAGCTAAGGTCAGCCCCAATCCAGACCAGCCCACATAGCCTAACAAATATGTATGATGGAGTGGCATTAATTGGGCGACATTGGTTAAGCATTATATAACATATTATTCAACAATACAATAGTTACTTCAAATTGTATCCTACATTTCACTGTCCATCATATTTCAAATTTCAATCTTAACTCATACTCAATGGAATTCCTACTAAAGCAAGCTAAACTACTAATCATGCATATCTCACAGGAAAATCATAAAAAAAAACTTCTCATAAACGTACCATTTAAACTGCTCCATGCTACAAGGGACAGACTGTCTCGATGGCTACATCAACTCTCTCTGCGTCTGTCATTTTCCTGATGAGAGTCATCATCATATCTGGCTCTCTTGGAAGAAACCACCCAATCATCTTTACTTTGTTGCTGTCCTTCTTCCTCCCTTTCGTGCCTCCGAATTCCATGCTTTTGAACATCATTAATGTCTTTAAAGCTTTTCCGATGTTTACCCTCTTAGTTAAAACTTTATCATACTGTTTAGTTCCATGACCATCTTCTTCCTCCCTAGCATGCCTCTTGTCCCTTCCACATTCTTCCCTAATGTCAGTAATGTCCCATTCATCACTTTGATGATCTTCTCATGCATCCCTTTTGTCACTCCCATGTTGTTTCCTGGTGTCCTTTTTTAATCTTCCGTGTTCCTCTAGGATATCCCTTCTGTCGCTTAGATGCTCATCTCTAGGATTTCATTCGTCTCTTCCATGTTCTTCTCTAGCATCCCATTCACCCTTTCCCTGCTCTTCCCTAATGACATCTTTGTTCCGTCCTCGCACTTCTCTTGTGTGCCTTCTGTCCCTTCCTCATTCTTCCTTGGAGTCTTTGTTATACCTTTCCCACTCTTCCATATAGTCCTTATTCTCACTGCCATGCCCTTTATGATATCATTAGCAGCTTTGACTTTCATATGGTGGTTCATCACCCTTATACTCTATTCTCTCTGCATTCCCAACCTTGTCAGAAACTTCTCTATGAAGATGAAATCATTTACAACCAATCCCTATGCAATATAACAATGATCCACTCTCTACATCAGTAGCAGAGCTGTAAAAAGAAAAAAACAAGATGGAGCTGTCAATACAACGATGCAAGAAAAGATAATAATCAGCTAAAATCAGCCCCACTCCAGATCAGCCCACACAGCCTAATAAATAGGTATGGCATAGTGGCATTAATTGCGCGACATTCATTAAGCATCATATAATAACATATTATTCGACAATACAATAGTTACTTCAAAAAGTATCCTACATTTTCACCATCCATCATCTTTCAATTTTAAGCAGATACTCATGCTCAATGGAATTCCTACTAAAGTAAGCCATATTACTACATTTAAACTGCCCTCTTATCAGTCTTTTCAACGTACAGATCTTCTGCAGTATTTTTCTTCCATTTGAAATCCCTATCCATGAAAGAATGTTACGAGTTCTTAATCCACTTACTCCAATCATTTGGACCACTCTTCCCACCGGTAAATTGTCCACCATGACTCAAATGAGCAACACCTTTGCTAAGATCAGTTGAGTGAACTCCTAGAGCAGCCCTCAATGTGTCCATCTTTCTCTCCTTCCTCCCAGCAACTTGGTGAGATTGCGTGTTGGAAATTCTAACTAAACAAATTTGAATATCAATCACATGTAGGATGAGGCCAATTTTACAATATTAACAAGCATCAAGACTCCTACGAAAAAAGGATTCCCAATCAAATTGTCATAAACGGTCGTAGGACCACGAGAAGTAACATAGAACAGCTATGGAAGGGCAACCTTATGTATGCGTAATCAATACAGAACACGAAGAGGATGAAAAACAAGGATACCTAATGAAACCAACTAGATTCAAAACAAATGATTGAGTAAATAAGAAAACCAAGCATTCTAATGAATCCCATGTGATGTAAGAAGCATAATCATCATTGTTAATAAGACTTCCATAATCCAGCCAAAACATGCAAATCAAGGTACAACAAAATGACTACCACTCAAACAGACATATGGCAGAACCTAAGTATGAGTATACAGCAAAAAACCAAGAAGAAATTCAAACCACAAACATTTAAATGCTAGGTACAGGGCACATATGAACTCCATGAAGAGAGACAGACGTTTTCAAAGCCAGCATAACCAAGAGAGTCCCTTGCTATGGCCACTTCTACCTCATTAGAATACACAGATAGATTCTACTTCTTAACGAACTTATAACAGAACCACACTGAACAAAAACACAATAGAAATCAGCTGCTTACTTAGCATCATCCCCTAAGGTGAAAGAAGTAGGTCCACCACTTTACTCAGAGGCCGAGGCTGCTTCCAACATCTTCCTTGCTTCCTCCATCTTCTCAGCAATCTCAGCATCAGCATAACCTTGCTCAATCAACTTGTCTTTGAGCACCACAAGCTTGACATGAATTCCTCGCTTGCGGTCATGCTCAAGGATGTCCTTGTTGGGCTTTTTGGATATCCCTGCAGTACCTTGGTCTTCATCGCATCCCCTGGAAGCATGAGCAACATTGTCGGTCCTTGGCCTCACAAAGAACTTGTTGGTCTGGCTGTAACCATTAGTTCCCGACCCCCTTGGCGTCTGCAATCCTATCCCGTTGTGCATCTTGAAGCTTCAAAGGTGCTTACACTCGCTGTTCAATAAAACGAACAGAGCTTTTGGCAGTGGGAGACCGGAAAAGGGAGGTGGGCTCGATTACTAGCACAAGAAAAGCTTAAATTCTGGATTTGGGAAGGAGAGAATCCTACGACTGCAGTCAGGAGAATCAGACGCCGGAGGAGATGGTGGAAGAAGAAGGCGAGGCCGCGGCCTGATGGTTACAACTCGAATAGGAAAATCTTAGGGTTTAGCCTTAGTTTCGACAGAGCAGACAGCAGGCCGAAGGCGGTAAGAACTGGTGACTGGCAAGGCACAGAAACCGACGTATGGCGCGAGTCGGCAGCGAAGCGAGAACGGCGAGGCGGCGTCTGGTGAGGGTTTTCCTTAAGGTTCGCGATCGACTGCTGCGAGAATTGCGAGGCCGAGGGGAGCTGATTAGGGATGGCAATGGGTCGGGTTGGGGCGGGTTTTGTCAAACCCAAACCCATGGGTTTATCCGCCAAAAAAACCCGGGGTAAAACCCGTTGGGTTTGAAAAACTCAAACCCAACCCAACCCGCTGGGTATTCGCGGGTTCATGGGTACCCGTGGGTTTTTGTGGTAAAAAATTTACAATAATAAGTTTCTTTCAAAATAAAAGTTTAACATCAATTTTCTCATACAAATAACACCAATCTAGAGCATACAAGCAAACCGCGCAAATGATCAATACAAATTGTTCAAAATTAAAGATAAACATCTATAAACAATAAGATTAATTGAAAGCTTCTTCCACGTCAACTAAGTTTTTTCACTCTCCACTTCATAATATCAACTTCATTCTAAACAATTAGAAAGAACAAATTATACATGTCTCCACAAACATAAAGAATATTAGTTATTTAAGGAAGATATATTATTTAGAATATTAAATATACCGGGAAAGTAATTATATGTGTGTGGGCGGGTACCCATGGGGCGGGTTTACCTAAACCCAAACTCAACCCGACCCGGGGAATAGTGTAGCGGGTTTAAACCCGAACCCGACCCAAAACCCGTCAACACGGGTTTTACCCGCGTTGACCGGGTTGGGTCGGGTGGATACCCGTTGGTTCGAGTTTTGTTGCCATCCCTAGAGCTGATCCGGTCAATAATCTTGTGGGAATAAATCCGTCGTGTCCATTTTCTCTTTTTCCGTTGAATCTGTTTTCTTTGTATTGCTTTAATGGAAAAAAAACCGATACAAAGAGATAGAGCCAAAGCTATGTGGCGCCATAAGCACTAACCAATACCTTCCTCATTTCTATACTTTACTACTTACATTGTAAAAACATAAAAGTAGAAAGAGTGTAACATCTAGAGAGAAAGAGTGTAACATCTCGTTTGCTTGTTGGATTTGAAAAATGAGGATTTTGGCTCAAAAAAAACATTTGGATTTATGAGGGATTTGTACCATCATGGATTTGAAGAGTCTATTATTTGCATGATAGATTTGATGATATAATTATGATGAATTTGCTATAAATATAACTAGCCATCAAAGATTTACAAATCCCACCCCAATATGTGGGATTTACAAGTCCGTGGGGTCCACGGATTTAGATCGAAAAAAGGGAACAAATCCGTTGACCCCCACGAATTTAACACCTAACAACAAACAATAGACTTGGCTAAAATCCATCATGCTTGGGATTTGAGTCCCAAATCCATTACCCAAATCCATCAAGCAAACGAGATAACCAAGCTTCTCCAGCTCCCTTCACATCATAGCATTTCCTGTAACTAGGAAGCATACACCAAACCGTCTCATGTCAATATCTAGAAACAGAGGTCTGATGAACCATTAAAAGTTAGTAGGAATTGAACCACTGACCACTTCCTTCCGGTGAATTACTTACCCAACACCACGACCATTATGCCACGAGATTTTCTTTGAATTTCCTCTTTCGATGCTCCAACTCGAACTGACCAACCCGTCCATTTTCTCTCCTGTAAAGTCTTTAATTTTCCCCCCTTTAATCTTTAACGAACGATTTCTCACTTGTTTTAAGTCGAAATTTAATTTTTTTTGCATAGTTAGATCAGATTAATTGTGCTCTTCAAAATGATATCCACTTTGATATATTTATGGAACAAACAAAATAGAGCCATTTTTTATCAATCTATACCATATGGTATTGACTTGTATTAAATAAAAGCATAGCATATGGTATGAAAAGTATACCATGGTGATATGAACATACCAAGACTGTAGGATGGTTGAATACATGATAATATGAGTATACTAAATGTCATTTACGACTTCCAACATTGTGTACCACAAGATACCACCCTGTACCAGAGTGGTATTGTGTGGTATTTTTTGTATTATATTTTGTTCACCCAGAAATTTGTAGGTCCAATAAATCATGATGAACTCGTTCATTCTGTGCACAAATTTCAAAAACGACTTAAAAACGAAGAAAATATCATATGTTATGCAGTTGGTAACGAGAGGCGTTAAATTTTTTTCTAAAAAAATATTGAAAATGGATCTCATTTTGTTGATCACAACGAAATCGTTCCATCTTTGCAAATTTTTTTTTTTTTGAAATTCGAGTTAAAACGAAGAAGATATGAGTTGATTCAGAAAACAAGGAAAAATAAAAATGTCTTTAATTCTCCACCCTTATATCTTGATTTTCTAAATAAAGGGCCCAGATTTAGTTATGGATCAAAAGCGCGATTCTACCTAGTAGTGGAAAAGGGGTAAAATCGTAAAGCGTAAAAGCGTAAGTTTTTACGCATACTGTAAAAGAACTAAAAATATGTTAAGTACGACATATACTATGAAAAATATGAGTGCACAAAATTTAGATAGGTTAATAAATACTTGCAATTAATGTCTAAAGTAGAGCAACTTATAGCCTCTTAATAATAAGTTCATAAACATAAATCGTATCAAGAAGCCACCTTCCCCTCCATGTTAATGAATTTGAGAAGAGCCTAGACAGTGAATTAGATTAATTTATTGAAGTTCAGAATGCATCAAAGTATTTGGTATGTATCTTTTAATCTTAAACGTATCATATTGTCGGTGATTTATTTTTAAAATATATTTTTTATAATTAATTTCATGAAAAGAATACCTTTTTAGTGAAGTAAAAGCGTAAAAACGTAAAGCGTTTTATTGAACTAGAAGCGTTAAAGCGTAAGTTTTTAAGTTTTAAAGCACAATTTAGTATGATTTTATACACTAAAGTTTTTATATAGAAATGGAAGCGTTTTGGTGACCTAGAAGCGTAAAACCGTAAGTTTTTTTAAGTTTTAAAGCGTGATTTTGACTACATTCATTAACATTGGTTATGCATCATATCTTGAGCCAAGGCAGAGTAGACAGATGAAGGAAGGGATTAGCTTTTTATAATCGAGTAAAACCGGTAATGTGATTAGCTTATAAAATTCCTATTAGTTGTTTGATTAACTTGTCCAATTAGAATTCTTTTTATTTATTTTCGATCTACACAAGCACATTGTCACCCGTCGCTTCCCTTCTGTACTTGTACACTTCTCCGCGCATCACCAAAGAGTCGGCGCCGGAAATCCGTTTCCTCGTTTCCAATATGTCTCCATCAATCCAAAACCCAGGTAAAAATTTATCAAACACAACACAAAACCTCAACAATAAACAACGCACAACGGTAAATTTACGTGATTTCACCAACGTATGAACATTGTGACTAGTCCACAACACAAGGGGATTGATCTTATTATTAAGTTGTGTTCTTAGAGCTCACAGAACACCAAGTTCGGCTCTAAACATATATACAACCGACACCCCCTTTTGCCTTATTCCCCTTCATATAAATTCACTTGCTGAGGGAGAATATCGTTCTACTAATCCGAGTAAACCCTCGAACCACCGCAAGTAGTTCAGATTTCTGTTGGAGAAAGTAGACCCACATATATCGAGTAACATGGTCAACAAAGAGAGCAAAATACCAAAAACCTAGACGTCCAGTCACAACAGAAGGACTACAGAGATCAGTGTGAACGAGATCAAAAGGCTCGACATAGACCGTCAAACTATCCCCAAAAGAGCGCTGGGTAATTTTAGCTCGCACACAATGAATGCAGTCATGAGACGGAATCTAGCGAAGATCACCAGACAACCATTTATTCTTAAACATATAAAAAAGTCTCGATTTATGAGGGTGGCCCAGCTGAAAATGCCACAAATCCCAATCGACAACTGAACAGAATAACCAATGTCATTAATCAAAAACACAGAATGGGAAATATCCGCTAATGAACTAGATATTCTCGCCCTAGCACCATGCGAACTATGACGCGCCATCTGAGAAGAAGAACCACCATGATACAATGGCTTCCAGGACAAGCTATCAAGCATGAAGACTCTACCTTTTTTTCTCCCTCTCCCGACCTCTCGCCCCATCCTCATGTACTGCACAACGCAACCATGAGCATCAAAGATAACACGACAGCATGTATCTGCTAACTAACCCACTGAGACGAGGTTAGTAATGAGCTTAGGGACATAGAATGTATGGGGCAAGGAGATCCTATCTGTAGTCATAGAGCCAATACCCTCCACAGGAATAGTAGTTTCATCTCCCACTTACAGTGTAAAACTAGAACTAGGGTGAGCATGAGTAAAGATGGTGTGATCACTAGTCATATGATTTACGATAGCAGAATCAAGATGCCAGGAAGAAGAAGGCCGAGAAACAATACCCATAGCAAAAACAGTAGAAAGATCAGGAGAGGCCGTGTTTTGAAGAGCCTCGCGAATAAGACGACGGAGGTCATCACGAGAAACATCGCAAGAGCTCGAGGAAGTAGACGACAAGGTGGGCGAGGGTGTTGTCATCGTGGCAAATGCACTACCTGTGGTCGGACGAGACCTGGTGCTGAGGACCCAGCTCCTGAGCAGGAGCTCTCACCAAGTCGAGAAGAATCAGACCCTCCCCCACGAGGACGATTCCGGCAAGCAAGAATTGAGCGATCCTCAATGACATGGTCATTAGCCTTGCAGTAGTTACACATAACTTTCTTGGACAACGAGTTTGAACATGCTCAGGCTCTTTGCAATGATAACAAATGATCTCTCCTGAAGCAGTATGCCCAAACTGACAACGGCTAGACTGAACAACAAATGCAAAACCGGAATCCGAGGAATGCACATGAAGCTTTGCTTGGCTGCAATGGCGAGTTTCCTCGCGAATAAGCTCACCCAGAACCTCCTCAATAGTAGTAATATTACGATGGAATAAGGAAAATCGAACCCCTTCAAACGCCGGATTAAGTTTCATCATAAAATGCATCAACCGGGAACTAGCTCTCTCCTTCAAAACTTCAACCGAAGCTTCTACAGAGACTAAGGAAGTCATCAACATGTCCTGTTCAGTCCACATGCTATGAGCCTCCTGATAATATGATCTAATGTCCAGATCTTTTTGCTG